ATCCCACTCCCTCCCCTCCCCCAACAATCCTCCTATCCTGCAGACCTCCTGGTGCTGCCTTGATCAGCATCCGCTGGTGCCAGGAGCCAAGGAAGTAAGTCAAGGTGGTTGGAGGGGCAGGCAGAATTTAGGGGGTTGGCTTACCGTGGGGGGAGGTTATTTGTCTGTCTGGGGTGGGGGAGGTTCTAGGGGGTAAAAATAGCCTCTAGTCCCAGAGGCAAGAGAGAACCCCATCCCCCAAAGCCTCTCATGGACCCTGCTAGCCCCCCTTGATCCTGCCAAACCCTCCAGGACCCTGCTAGCCTCCTCAACCCTCCTCAGACCCTGCTTGCACCCCTGATCCTGTCAAACCCTCCCTAACTCCACCAACCCTCCCTGTGGACCCCACTTGCTCCCGTGGTCCTCCCAACCCCACCCCCTCTGATGCTGTTTGCCTCACTAATCCCTGAAAACCTTTCTGATAACCCCACCACCCTTTTCCCCACTGCCATCCCAACTACGTTAGATTGGGTGGCCAGTTTTAACTCAGTCTAACCTCCCTGAATGTCTGTACATACCTACAGTGGCAGAGTGTGAATGCTGAAAAGGATAGTGAGCAGAGTATGACCAGGGTTTCTTTCACTATACCTCTCTCACTTGCAGCCCTCCAGTATTTAAGGTCTAGGAAGTTCAGATTTAGAGGTTGTACCTCTAACTCTTGTAACTTATCTTGTCTTTGTAGAATCCTTCTGTTATCTTAACAAAATATGATGTGTCTGTGTTTTGTTACATAATTCAAAAACTTCCCTCAGTTTGGAGGGAGAGAAGAGAGTGTAGTAGAATTAGGTAGCTGAACAAAATTATAATGGAGCATAAAACTTTTTACTAATTGGTTACAATTACAAGTTTTTTCTCTGCCTCTAGTGGCCAAAAAACATCTGAGACTATGCAAGTGGCATGGTGGCCTATGCAAAATATTATTTGAGGTACAAACCTAGTTCCAAACACCATCCTCACAACTGACATCAGTTTTCTACCTCAATAGCATTATAAGTAAAAAGACAAGTGTTGACATAGCTTGGCCTTGTAAACAGTTCTTCCAGTTCAAGGCTGTTGTAGGAGGCCTGTCTAGATTCATAGATTCATTGACTGTAGAGTCAAAAGGGACCACAATAGATCATCGTGTCCGACCCCTGCCCCTGGCAGGGAAGAGGACCGAGGTCAGATGACCCCAGCCAGGTGACTATCCAGCCTCTTCTTGAAGACCTCCAAGCTGGGTGATAGCACCACCTCTCTTGGAAGCCCATTCCAGATCCTGGCCACCCTTACTGTGAAAAATTTCTTCCTCATATCTAACCTAAATCCACTCTCAACTAGTTTACACCCATTATTCCTAGTCACTCCCTGGGGCGCCTTAGTAAACAGCACGTTCCCTATTCCCCATTGACCTCCCCTAATAAATTTATAGGCGGCCACAAGATCTCCTCTCAGCCATCTCCGGTGTACTAACTTGTGAAGGCTGAAGAGATTAAGCTCTCTAAACCTCCCCCCGTAGGGTCTATCACAAAGGCCACTAATCGTGCGAGTGGCCCTCCTCTGGTCCCTCTCCAGATTCTCCACGTCCCTCTTGAAGTGCAGCGCCCAAAACTGGACACAGTACTCCAACTGTGGCCTGACCAGTGCTGCATATAGGGGGAGCATCACGTCCTTTGATCTATTAGTCGTGCACCTGCTAATGTATGACAAGTTGTGATTGGCCTAGTTGATAGCCTCGTTACACTGCCAGCTCATGTTCATCTTGGAGTCAATTATGACTCCAAGATCCCTCTCTGCCTCCGAGCTGCTGAGAAGGATACTCCCCAACCTATAGGTATGCTGGGGATTCCCCCTTCCCAGGTGGAGTACTTTACATTTATCTTTATTAAATTGCATCCTATTTCTCTCTGCCCATTGATCCAACCTGTCCAGGTCGGCCTGAATCTGCTCCCTGCCCTCCGGTATACTAACTTTGCCCCATAACTTGGTATTAGAAGCGAACTTGGAGAGGGTGCTCTCCACACCCTCGTCCAAATCGCTGATGAAGATATTAAATAATATCGGTCCAAGGACCAAACCCTGTGGGACCCCACTGCCCACCTCCTTCCAGGCCGAGAAGGAACCATCCACCACCACTCTCTGGGTGCAGTCCCTAAGCCAGTTGGCCACCCACCTGACTGTGTAGGCATCCACTCCACAGTCTGCTAGCTTCCCAATGAGGATATGGTGCGAAACTGTGTTGAAGGCCTTCCTAAAGTCTAGGAAGATAACATCAGCCTCGGCTCCCGCATCCAGGCAGTGTGTGACCTGGTCATAGAAGGCTACAAGTTTTGTCAGGCAGGATCTACCTGTCTATGTTGGTCTTGGTGTATGGTGCTATTTATAGTTGCCTTCATCAAACTTGGAGGGAGGAAAAGAGGATATAGGAGGGAATGGATGTAGGAGAGACATCAATCTGTGTGCACATGGCTGATGTGCTACCTGCAATTGCAGTATCCTCTGTAAAGAGGTATTTTATTAAAGAGCCAGCTTAGTTTTGGAAACATGGAAGCCTCTCATGTTACCACCCAGCAAGCAGCACGTGAAATGACAACCTCCTATCACTACCGTATGTGCATGAAACTTTTAGATGAACAAATTATTGTTCCATGGCATCATTTTACTTTTTGTTTTAATTCATTTTGCTTCCCTGAGGAACAAAAGGAGTAAGAATATGTCACTGTTTGCAGCACTTCCAGACACAAACTTGTCTATTTTTCACGTTTTCATCAAGCTCCTATGGTATTTGAGTAGAACAGCATCCATTAAGAGCAGAGGTGGGCAAAATACAGCCCATGAGGCCATTCTATCCAGCCCGCAGGACCCCTAAAAAATTTAGAAAATTAGTATTTCTCTGCCCTTGGTTCCTGTCAAAAAAGACAGGAACCAAGGGCAATAGGACCCAGGGGAAGCCCAGCGGGCTCCCACAACAGCAGGGCCTACCCAGCCCCGCCCCTCGAGCCAGAAGCCCCGTGTGGGCTGCAAGTGGCTGCAGCAGGGAGCGCTGGCCACGGGGTGGGGGAAGAGCTGCTTCCCCCCCCCTCACCCCCACGCTCAGCTTTTCCCTGGGCTCCTCCCCTGCTCCTTCCCAGCGCAGAAGAAAGCGGCCCTTCTCTGCCCCGTGGCCAGCGCTCCCTGCTGCAGCCACTTGCAGCCCATGTGGGGCTGTCCAGAGCAGGCACAGCCAGCTCCATGTGGGCTAAGAGCAGCTGTGGCTGCTGTCCGCAGCAGGCACAGGCAGACCCCATGCAGGTCTGAGAGTGGCTGCAGCACATCTGATCAAGAGTTGAATCTGACCTAGAAATAATCTCGCTGTTAATCTTCTCTCAGGTTATTTTGACAGTTCTGTTTGGGGACCTTCAAAAGTGTAGAGTGATTGTCAGAGGAGGTCTGAAATATTCCTGGACCTAAGGATATACTCTGCAGAATAGAATATACCTTCATGCCAACACAAAGTCTTGTGAATCAAGAGCAAGATACTGTTGTCGATTTGGTGTGTCTCTGTTGACTTTGTCTGTGTGCAGGCAGTGCTACCTTCCACTATTCTTCTCCTCCTTGAAGAAGAACCACAAAGTTTAGTTTCAGTTTATCTGACTGAGACAATCACACAGGAAAAGGATTAGCTAGTAATTTGACCATTCGTCCCTGTAGGTGTGAATGATGAATATTTCAGCTCACCCGCTGTGTGGGATTTGCCTGTTTTAGCTCTGTGTATTAGCTATTTCATCACATGTAGTCAAGTTTCTTCCCTGCTGCTTTTGAGAAGTACAAATCTCACTGAGAATAGGTTTAAATGTATTAAAATCCCCTTGGCTGTGTTGGAAACCTTAGTGAATAAGGATGTTTTGTGGAGGAGTTCCAATCCAAACTCTCGTTCCAGATTACTGTACTCAGAAACTAATTTTTCATAGAGTTTAAGGCCTAAAGGGACCATTCATCAATTTCCATGGCAGGAAGACATTGATTAGCCACCCTCTCTGTTAAAAAAAATTGTGCCTAAGTTTTCTAATTTGTTTTTGTCTGGCTTCAGCTTCTTGCCATTGGCTCTGATTATGTCTTTCACCAGAGGAAAGTGTTCTGTAGTACCCAGTATTTTCTTCCCATGGAGATACTTGTATAATTCAGTCTCCTTTAAGTCTTCTTTTTGATAAGCTAAACAGGTTGAGCTCTTGAATCATTTTTTTGTAGCTCTTCTCCATGCCCTCTTCACCTTTTTACCATTTTTTTTAATTTAATTTTTCCTTTTTCAGATGCAGACACCAGCACTGTATGGAGAGCTCCAAGAACTGGTCTTGCAAGTTCTGTTTACAGTGGTAAATTGCTTCCCTACTCCTATCACTGCTTTCTTGTTTCTAAATCCCAGGATTGCACTGGCCTTTTTTTAACATGGCATTGCACTGGAGCTTATATTGAGTTGCTTTTCTGATTTGACCCCTAAGGTATGTGAATACTGCTTCCAGGCTGTGTGTGGGACTCCTGCTTAGAAAGCCCTGCCTACTCACTTGTTCTCTGTGCAAGCCAGAGCCCAGGAATTTGACAGTGGAGCTGGCACAGAATGGCCATGAGCATGTGCCAAGAAACATGCCCAAGACAGAGACCGTGAGGGTGGAATTGGAGCAGGTGTTAGTAGGTGGGGAGTATTTCACTGCAGTGATCCCAGATTCTGCACAGAAGATGTACAAACACATCCTTAAATTCTTTTCAAAATCATTAGGTTCTAGGAAACTATCGTCCTCTCTGCATTCCTTGTTTCTAGGTATATTATTCCTTATAAGCTTTGGGATCTACAAGTTCCTGTCTTATTGGTGTGTTAGAGAGGGACATATAATAGGAGACAGCACTATAATATATCAGAACCCTGCAACTTCCTCCTTCCCTCCACCCCCCAAAAAAAAACCTTAACCAAAATGACAATAGGTACTAGAACCTTAATTTAACTTTCTTTCTCCACCCTCACCTTCCATCTCCACTCCCCTTACAGAACTGCTTCATTAAGTCCAGTTGAAAGCAAACCTTTATCTACTAGTACATTTGGTATGGAACTCTATGGAAATAAAAAGATAAATGATATTTAAATACATGTAAATGTTAACTCAGTTCCAGTCATGTTTATGTGGAATCAAGGAAAGTCTTAAAGTAAGAAAACAATCATATTAACATACATGACAGACCTCCCCCCTCTGCTGGTTTAGATCCAGCTGTTGGAAAGCAATAAAGTGAGGTTCAGAGGGTGTAGGAGTGATATTCTACACCTTAAGGGAAGATGCTGTCAGACATGTCTGTCAATTAATGATCTACTCTCACTTTCCCACATGCCTCCCCCATACACTGCCTGCTCCATTCCTCCCTTCACATGTGGTTGCATGTTACATTTCATAATGATTTTGCTTATGGCCATTACATTGATTAGCTTCCTTATATTTTGGTGTCACCTTGGTTTTTGTGCCTCCCTACCCTCAAGCTTTGTAAGGCTATAATTGCTCTACAGCAGGGGTGTCAAACTCATCCTGAGCCCTGGATCACATCCAGACTGTAGAGGCTCCTCCTGGGCTGCGTTTTCATGGGGAGAGCAGCAAAGGTCCAAGGGTATTGACATGTGCTGGGCAGTGGCAGGGCAAGCAAAGGCTGTATCTGCACAGCCCTTGCTTGCCTCCCCCACCCCAGCCAACCATGGCCGTGTCCATCAGGGCCCAGGGATCCTTCATTCTGCAGCAGGCCACACTCCACTAGTCCTGCTTCCCAACTTCCAGTAGCCCACCTGACTACTGGTGAGCCAGATGGAATGGTTCCTCAGGCCAGATTTGGCCCACAGACCAGGTGTTTGACACCCCTGCTCTACAGAAGTAGGCTAGAGCTGTCCAAGCCTTCCAGAGTTCAGAGATCTAAGGTTCTGAGCAGTTTACTTTTGTAATGATGGCAGCATCTCAGGGAGTTCTACTGAGTAATAAAACTGCTTAAGAAATACCATAGATTCCTATGGTTTCTGTAGCTAGATGGCCCTGGCTAGTCTTGATAGTCAAACTTCTAGAGGACCAGGTTTAGAGTTTATTCAGCCGCATGTGACGGGCTAGTTGGCAGTGACTTAGCCCAGGGGTTTTGAAAGGGCAAAAGATGATTGGAGGACTTGGGATTCCCTTTCCTCACCAATCAGGCCCCAAAGACACCCCCCCCCCCAGGTGTCCCTTGATTGGCCTCTTGGATCACCTGGAGGGGGATAAAAGGAGCAGTGTGGCTGACTTGGGAGGGAGATCAGTGAGGGACTACAAGGATGGAGCTTCAAAGAGCTGGGCCAGCAGGGCAGGAGCAGTTGCCCCAGAAGCACCTGAAGGAGTGGGACCTGCAGGCAGTAGTTGGACCCTCAGCAGCGCAGCATGCAGCTGGCAGGAGAGGCTCCCTGTTGGGCTCCAGGATCCCCTACGGGAGGCTGCAGCCAGCAGGAGAGGTTCCGCAGCTCCAGCAAGGATCTGAGCAGCAACCTGAGAGGTTCCTAGCTCTGCTTCCAGCTCCTCCAATAAGAGGCCAGGCAGCTTGACATGAGGCTGGGGCTCCAGGAGGGGCCAGACCCCTAGCAGCTTGGTATAGTACCAGCATTGGTGGCTGTGTGGTAGAATTTCTGCCTATTACAGTGAGAGGTTCAAGTTTCAACTGGGGTGACTTGGGGTAAATGATGTAACAGGGAGAAATCTTTGTTGCAGTGAAAAGGGGTTATTGTGTGTTTTTCTCCCTCTCCAGGTACCTAGGCCCTATATTCCTTGTTATTTGACATTTTGTATTTTGTGCCTTTTATATTTCACTAACCAGTATTGTTTGTTCTGCTGTTTGTGTTTTATATTTTGTTAACCCTGTTTTTAGTCACCCGGATGAATATGTCTATGAGTGTAAGTGTCTAACCTTTGTTGAATCCTGCCCCCTTGGGGCATTGTAGTGTCCCCTATACCCCCTGGTTTATGCCTATTATGTTCCCAGCACTGTTCTCTCATTAAAAGGTATATGGTTAAGTCCCCATTGGTGGTCTGGCTCTGCTCTATAGGGGGAGGAGAGTCCCTACGCCTCCCACAGCACTTGTGCACCTGCTTTGATCCCTTCAATTGCAGAGGGGGTACCTCTTGGAGTACCACCTGGGTTACACACACAAAGAATATTACTGTGTAAGTAGGGTGACAATATTTCTCTAGTCTTAAAACAGAACACCCTGCTCTCCAGTACGATCAGCTGCCTCTGAGCTCTGGTCTCAGCTGAGCATGTTTAAGAGAGGGGGGAGGGGGTAAGGAAGGAGGGTGCTGAGTGCTGGAAAGGGGAGGGAGTATTATAAACACCTGTCCTGGGTGTCCCACTGAAAGCGGGACAAAAGCATTCATTCAACCGAACAGACAGAATACATGGCACAAGTGTTTAAAATGAGACTGTTCCAGGGAAAATGGGATTTATGGTCCCTAAATGTATCCCCCTCTCCAGTTCAGATGTTTGAAAATCCTAGGGAACTCAAGAATGGCTATGCTGCCCAGCAGGTATGCATTTGCCTTTCCTTCTTTCCCTGTGTTACGCTGATGTCTAGAAGTTAAATCACGGGTAGTATCTTAGGTCACGTCCACACAAACGGGAGTGTGTTTGCAGCAGCACAAATAGTAGTGGCACAAATTTGTACCACTACCTTGTGCTGCAGTACATGCCCCTGCTCGTGTGGATTGCAGCAGGACACATTGTCCCGCTGCTCCATGTGCTGCAGAGGGAAGCTGGCTGGGGCACAGTGTGCCTTAGCGCAGGGCTAGCTGGCAGGCAGCCCCCACACTGAAGCACCTTGTACCCAAGCCAGCCAGGGAGTGGCCCATGGAGATGGGGGAGCAGGCAGCTCTGGGCAGCACTGCAAAGCCCCCGTGCTGAAGCACCCTGCAACCCAACCAGCCACTCCCCAGCTGGCTGGGGCACAGTGTGTCTCAAGATGGGGACTCCACATCTGTGAAGTGGGCACTCCAGCTGTGCTGGGCACAGACAGGAGAGCTGCCAGCCCTGGGTTGCCTGCTGTCCTGTCTTGAGGCACTCTGCACCCCAGACAACTGCTCCACAGCTGACTGGGGTGCGGGGTGCCTCAGCATGGGGGCTCCACAGCATGCAGAGATGAGGAAGCATGCAGCTCTGGGCTGCCTGCTCCCCCATCTTCACGTTTGCCTGAGCACTTTGTCATACTTTGTACCACCTTTTTTTCCAGGGGCTGTTTTTGTTAGTTTTTTGTTTTGCTACTGGGAAATCCTGGTAGCAAATTTAGCCCCAGTGCTGCTAATTAGCAGTGCCATGCACAGTTTAATGTGCAACACATGTGGTTTGTACAGCCACAAAGAAGTTTGTGGTGCTATAAACCACATATGCCTACACATCTGATTCCAGCCTTGGTGGGCAGGGAAAAAAAATGTACTCTTAGGCTATCCAGGAATGGGCTCTGGTGAGCACTTAAGCCCAGGGCTTCATCTGATTTTATTGGTTTTGGTTTTTTGGTTTTTTTTAAAGCAGTGTGGAAATTGACCCTTATCACAGCCCACAAGAGGGTGTTTTCTAACCCTGCATCTTCTACTTTCTCATCATTGGGCAAAGAACATGGACTAGAAAACAGATGATTCTTCCAACAAGAGCACCATCTTTTGCTTTCAGAAAGAAAACAGCTATAAGTGAGCCCTGAACTTGTTCAGAGTGCCTGGTTAACGAGCGTGACTAATGCATTTCCCTTTTTTGCTAATCCTTCATATATTGTGTTAGCATCTTCCATTCTCCCCTCTGTGTTTAACCACCACCACAACCACTTAAAACCCAGGAGTAGTTAAAGCTTTCAGTTTTGGGGATTTTCCTCACTCATCCTTTCACAAAAACCTAATCCATCCTTGTAATTTTAAGTGTTTCATCTCATCATCATAACATTGCTGTACATGGAATGTAATTTGGATCTAAGCTACTGGCCATTTGCATGAATGTCATGGCTATAAATAGGTAGTAATTAGAGGTGCACTGATAGATCAGTTGCATATCAGATCAGCACCAATAACAGGAAAATTAACATTATCAGCAATTAGCTTTTTTTGGCTGATAATATCGCTGATAAATACTGTGTGCATGGACACAGCTGCAGCATGCACATGGCCTGGTGTGCAGCCTGGCAGCTTGGAGAGCAGTGTCCTGCCAGGAAGTCTGTGGGAAGAAGAGCATGGCGGGGGGGGGCAGATCGAGGCCCTCATGATGAAAGAGGGAGTGGGGTAGGGGCGAGTGTTGCTCAGCCAGGGCAGGGCACAGGACAGAACTGTGCGGGGCTCGTCCAGGGGGCATAGGGGGAAGAGGAGGAGGGAAAGGGGGAGCAGTTCCCTGCCACTGCACAGCTCCCTGGAGGAGGCATGGGAAGTGTGTGCTCCCTGGATTTCTGCATAGCCCAAGGGTGGGCTGCCTGCTGCAGGCTCAGGGCCAGGGGCTGTGGTGGCCTCTTCCTGGTAGGGGGGGGAATGGGGCAGCACTTGGGGCAGGTGGTGGTGGCAGTGCTGGAAGGGGTGGCTAAGGGGGGGCTATGGGGAATTTTGGGGTGGCTGGGTATCCCTGGGTATTTCACTGGTCAGAACACACTGCCCAGCTGCATTCCTGTAAATCAGCTTTTGGATCGGTATCGAGCAATATGGCTAGTTAATAATTGGCCATCAGTATCGGCCAACAAAATCTTTATCAGTGCACCCCTAGTAGTTTCATAGTTGTTAGGGGCTGGAAGGGACCTTACAGATCATTGGGTCCAGCCCCCCTGCACTTGGACAAAAAAGATCACTGGGATCAGATGTTCCCAGGAAGATGGTTGTCAAGATGCTTTTTGAAGATTGCCAGGGTGGATGACTGTACCACCGCTGGGGGGAGCCTATTCCAAACTCTCAGCACTCAACTTGCAAAGGACTGATTCCTTATGTCTAGCCTGAAGCAATCTTCAACCAGTTTGTGCCCATTATTTCTTGTCTTCCCAAGGTATATAGATGTAGAAAATGTAAAATGACCTGTGCATCAATGTTTCTATGTCGCAAGAAACACTGTCACTATTAGGGGTGTGCGAAGCAGGCCCTATTCAATTTGGATTCAGATTTGGCTCAAATCGGGGATAGTGATTTGATTACTTGCTTCAGATCACTGTCCCTGATTCGATTCAGCCGAATCTGAATCTGAAGTTTCAATGCTGATTTGGAGAATCAGCGATTCGGACATAGACACAGGTTTACAAGGTATTTTTCTACATACCTTGAGGTAGGAGGTGTGGCTTGTGATCGCTTCAATGCTGGGGTGCATGGAGCGTCCCACAGGCATGCGGGGGATGCTCCATGTGCTCAGCAGTGAATCCAGAAGTGGACCGGAGCTCCCAACATATGTTGAAGGAAAACTAATTCTCAAAAGGTCCCTAAGGTGTCTGCATGACATTTACAGAACAGCTTTTTGTCCAACTGCTCTAACTATTAGTATGCAACCAACCACTGGAGGTCATTAGTAAATCTTCTTGGGTATTTAACTGGTTGGAACAAAAATAGTGGAAAATGTAGGACGAGGGGAAAATGACACCACAGCTGTGGAAATGATGCTGAAATATTCCTCATGCCTCAACCTTCTCTACATGCTTGATTCCTCCTTTGCAGCCAGAGAATGTTGTAAATCTCATATATTCAGCACATAGGCACAGATACATCTCTAACTAGGTTTGCTAGGAACATAACGTTGGTCATCCTTGAAAGTAATGCGGTAATTCTTAAGGTATCAGCAGTAGTTTAAGAAGCTAATGCAATTCAAAACTATGAGCAGCACAACACACACTAGTAGGTGTATCCTAAACAGAGGAAATAGTGCACAGCTATTTTTAGTATAGCTATCGGGTATCTTATGATGGAAAATTGTAGAGCTCCATTCCAAGAGATCCTATAGTCAGACAGGATGACCTCAGAATATAAGGAGATTTAAAGATTGTACTATTGTTTCCAGGAATCCTCAGAAAAAGCCAAAGGCAGTTACTGCTATTTAGAAAGCAGAAGAGATGTATTATAGTTTCCTCTAAAGCA